TTAAATGTTTCCCCTTTCCCCCAATTGGTCTAAGCCAGTTCTGACAAATCTCTTGTGACCTATCCCTTCCCGTGATTGGTCCGGATAAGGAAATTCTAGCATTTGCACCTGCACTTGTAAAATTGAATCGCTTGAAACACAGACTTGGGGTAACAATTATAGATAAAAAAAACTGTATCATTTGCAGTTCCATGTGCAAAAGTGAATCGACTTTGAAAAAAATCACTAAACTTGAAACACAAACTTGGGGGTTTGACTTTACAATTTTAAAAGCGATTTGATGTTATTAAGCAGTTATTTTATAATGAAACTGTATTCATATGATTCCCTTTGCAGAACATTTTGATATCCTTTAGATCATAATTGCTCTTTATTTTATAAATTACAGTTTCATATTTTTAATTTGATAATTTCTGCATGCCATCTCATCAGATTTAAATTGTTGATCTATAATCTGGAATTGCCGAAGTCCCGACGATTCCGGATTAAAGACTTTTGACTGTATTGTATTATAATATATATACTATATATAGTCTGTAATCATTTTAAATCAAATTGTATGCATGCTTTTTCTGTATTCCACTGCATATTATTTTCAAAAGCATTATCTTCAGTTAGTAGTTGTTATGTGTAAAATTGTTAACGAGGGTATAACACATAGATTTCTTCATTTGGTAATAGCTAAAATAAAAGGACTTTCCCCCTGCTATTACTTCTGATTTGTATGTATTTTACTTTTAGATTGCTATACTCGGTACAGAAGATTTGGAAGTGGAAGTTATTGTGAAAGATAGTCTGGGTCGAGAATTCCATAACATATCTTCGTTTGATATAAAATGGTATCTGTCTGATTATACATTGGCTTATTTTTCTAGTAATGAAGGTGTCAAGACAAGATTAATGAGTGTTCAAAATACTCATTTCAAAGCAAAATGTGAGTTCTAAATATTTACTGTCATGCTATTTCTTACTGCAATGGATTAAATTTTAATGAGCATTTTTTTGTGTATAGTATATTCTGTATAAATTTGTGATGTCTGCTTCTTTTTCCTGTAAGAGACTGGCATTTGTTCTGCATATAATTCTGTACAGAGTATTTATTCTTATTACCTTAAATGCATCACTTAGAGTCATTAAAAACAAGTTAAATTTCAAAATTTTTCGTAGTTGTAGTGCCCTATACTTTATTGTGTAAAATATGTTGTAGGGTTGAAAAGTATATTGCCTTCAAGTAAGGCAAATAATTATTCATTTATTCTTTAATTTAAAATAGTTAAAAATGTATCTTATTCTAACCAAAATACCAGGGATATTCAGTAAATAAGCTTCCTTTTATCTGTCTACAGAGAGTAAACATAATTTTATGGGAAGATTTGTTACAAAAGGTAGAGCAATTGTTTAATTATTTTTCAGCATAATCACCCATCAATTTAATACATTTTTAACGTCATGAGATTAATGTTTGAACCCTACACCATAGAATTATGCTGCTTAACATTGGAATTAATATGTGACAGCTGTCTGCACTCCTTCATTCCTTTGATAATGTTGTTTGGACTACAGTATCTTAAGACATAAGAAAAGATGGAAATTATGAGAGGTAAGATTGGAATTATGTAGTGGTTGTTCAAATACTTCTCATCAGAATTTCTCTGGGAGATCTGTTGTATAAGAAGCTGTATTGGTTCTGGGTGTTATCAAATAACAAAACAGTATTGGTGCTGAACACCATTGCGTGTTTCTGAATAGCCTGGCAATGTTCACCAAGTTTCACAGTAACAGTATGTGTTAACATTCTCAGTTCTAAATCAGAAAGCAGTTGTAAAAGTGTTTTCTGGCCCAAAACACTGTGCTGTGTTATAGGTACTGAGTGTTATCAAATAACAGAACAGTATTGATGCTGAGCACAATGTATTGTTTGTTTCTGAATAGCCTGTAGCAATTTTCACCATGTTTCACAGTAACAATATGTGTTGACATTCTGAGCTCTAAATCAGAAACCAGTGAGCAAAAATGGGTTTTTTCCCAAAACACTGTGATAGCATAATCTGCTTGAATTTAAACTTTATGAGATTTACTATGATGCCAACGCACTAATTGTTCCCAAACTTGGGCAAAGTATTCATCACCTTGGATAACATGGTCCAGGAATTTGTCATTCTCATCATGGTACTGCTGCCGAAATGTTGATGTGCTTTATTTTGTATTCAGACATTAGCTGTTTTAACAATCATCTTGACCAAAATTACAGATAAACAAATGCCTCCTGACTATTTCATGCAAAAAGATAAAGGAAATCTGAGGGAAATGCTCCATAAACCTTAAGCAAATCTTTAAAATTCACTGCTACACTTCTTCAAGGTTACTTCTAAGAGACAATACCTTCCCACTGTACCCTTCATCATGCACATTTTGTTACTGAACATTTACTGTACTAGCGACATAACATGTGCTTGCTTGTAACATTTTACTCATACACCAAATTTTTTGTTATACGATGTTTTGATCATTTGCGACATACAATCAATTGATCTGAAACTTTTGATTGTGGTTTATGGTGTGGAAAGCAAATAGCCCTTCAGCTAATGCTAGCTGTTCCTCCGTTAATAATACATATTCGCTGACGAAACGTAACGTTAATGATAGAACACCGCCGAGTAAATCTAACTCGTTAAATTGCCTAATTTAGTTTACTCTGCATACATTTTATGTGTTTTTTTAATTATGTATTTTTTTATTTCTTTATATTTACTATAATAATTAATAAATAATGGGTAATATATTTTTACACTACATTTAAAATAAGAAATGCGGATGTTTTCTAAAAAGCGGGACATTTTAAAAAATCGGTGGGACGCGGGACAGCCCTCCAAAAAGCGGGACTGTCCGACCAACATCGGGACGTGTGGTCACTTTTACACTAGTGGGCAATTTAAGCTTTAATGGTGGCAGTAGAGGCTTTTGTCCATCTGATGATGAAGGTCCATTCTCCTGCATGCAGCTCTCCTCTTTCCTTATATTTATACGAGTTTGCTACTTCTCTTAGATATTGTTCTGTGAATATAGCTCACATATTGTGATTGTCACATCTTTAAAAAGTGTGAGGCTAGAAGAAATTTTTTGGGAAACAAATTTCTCTTTTTCTACTGCTGAAGTATTTTTGCCGAAACAGTTTCCTTGGAACCGGTGTCCTGGCTAGCTAAGCAGGATATAAATTTTCTATCTCTTATAAATATAAGTAAATGGATAAATTCAACTATATATATTTTTTACTAAACCTCCACCACAGTCGTAGCTAGGGTTTTCAGCGCCCAGGGACAACTGAAGATTTTGCGCCCCCTACTGCGTGCCAAGGATGGAAAACATTTAATTCTAAAATGTCGTAACATCAGTTTGGCACCTCTTGGATTCAGTGCCCCCCCCTTGCACCCCCTCTAGCTACGCCCCTGGCCTCCACTCAGAAAATAACTTTGCATTTAAGCTAAATTATGTTACTGCGAAACCAGTGGGCGGTAAGGAAATTTTACTATCACCGAAGTGGTTGGTAGGTATATATAGGTTGACTATCTCTGGTCTAAAACTTTTGAAAATCAAGAATTTTACTAAATTCTGTAACTACAGTAGGTTTTCTTTGATCTTAATGAATTTAAGAAATGCTTCTAATCAGGAAATCTGGTGTTGTTCTAAAACTTTTGTGACAACTGATGTTGCTAGAAAGATGCTAAGATAAACTTCTGACCTTTTTTTTCCAAAACTATCCGCTTACATAGCCAGCTACCTAAAATAGTTATATATATGAGGGCTATCCAGAAAGTAGATTACGTTTTGGAATAAAAAATTAACAAAGTATAGGAAACAAATTTTATTATATACAGATGAAAGCCACACTCAAATACTACTTTTCTACATAGTCACCATAACAAATTGAGGCATTTATCGTAGCGAGTACGAGCTTGGAAATTCCTTCGTCGAAAAATTCGGCCGCCTGCGCCTTCAACCACTTCGTTACCTCTTCTTCTTTTCGCTGAATGATTTCGTGCAACAAACTTCGCGAAATTTGTGGAAAACTCAAAGAAAGTTCCGTTATTGTGAAATTTCGATTTTCACGGACTTTAGCATCGACTTTTTCGAGAAGTTCGGCGGTCACTATGCTGGGTCTCCCACTTCGATCTTCGTCGTGAACATTGGTTCGGCCATTTTGAAATCTTATGACCCACTGACGCACTCCACCTTCAGTGATAATGTTGTCCCCATACACTTCACGAAGCTGCCGATAGATTTCTATCGGTTTACAGTTTTTTGCAGTCAGAAACCTTATTACTGAGCGCAGCTCGCGGGATTTTCAATTAACGCAGACATTTCAAACCGTCACAGTATCTGAACGGAGCACAGCACGAACCTCTCACTAGCACGGCTAGATGCAGACTAAGCTGCGCAACGCTCTGACCCCAAGATGGCCGCGCTAGCCCCGCCCCTAGCGGACACAGACGGAAACGTAATCTACTTCCTGGATGGCCCTCGTATATTGAGAGAGAGCCCAGTTAGTGTAATTTCACAACTCCAGCTAATAATTAATAGTGACAGGTATAGAACTGTGCTTATTGTTTTTATCACTTTGTGGATCAGTCACTGACAGATTGAAAAATCACATATCTTTTGTTTTTCCAAATGGCAACACCCTGGTTTGTGGAAGATGAAAATATTTTATTTTAGGCAGTAGTAACACATTTCTTTTAAATCACTGAGCGTGTTGATTTAAGTCAAAACACAAATATCTTTGCTGAGATATTTCTTTTAAATTGCTGAATTTTTTATTATTTTAATTGAAACACAAATATCTTCTGCTTTGTGGCAACACATTGCTTTTAAATTGTGGAGTTTGTTAATCTAATTTTCATATTAAGTTCACTCAAAATGTGAAATAAATGAAAAGCAATTTCAAAATTTGTGTGTTGATGGGCTCATATTCAAATGGATTTGTGTTCAAAATTTTTTAGCTTTACGGGTCACTGATTTTCACATAACATATATATGCATACATACATACAGATTCTTCAGAAATAATCCACGAATTTGCATACTTAATGGTATTTTCTTCATAATACCAGAAGGATGACCAATAAGACTACTGTGAAATTCTGGGCAAATGCTGGGGTGTTAATATCCCAGATAAGATGAGTTCCCTCTTGAAATGTTTTCAATTTTAAGCTTCCCATCTTGCTGCTATAATGAATCCAGCGGAGACTTTTATCTTTTATCGTTGTACTAGTTGTTGCTTTAACTGAGCTATTCCTTTCATTTTTGTCATCCTTATCCAGAATAAAATTATTTTTGGATTAAACATAAGGCAATTTCAGAGCAGATGTCATGGTATCCTTTAATTCTTAAACTGATTCATCATTTCAAGAAAACTTTGATTCTGTTAACTGCCAAAGAGAGTGTTGACTCTTAGAAAACTGTTCAAGAACTCTGAGTTCAAAGACTAAGAAATATATCAAGTATTATATCAGTCATGAACTTAGGTGTTCATTAGATCTGCTTGCTCATTTGGGGAAATATGTTCACAGTAGCTAATTTCATAGTGAAACAATTTGCAGTTCAGAGGGTTTAGAATCTCATTGTTTCTGCTGTATCAAAATAATGAATAAATTTTAAAAATGTAAAAAGATATATATATACACATATGCACAGAAAATTACACCATGTTGATAGAAAAGTGGGGACATTATTAGTTACAGTGGTCAATTCAGAAGTGCCACAAATTGTAATATATATGGACCTTGTTGCTTAAAATATTTATCTAAGTGACATTTTGTGTGTAATTTAAGCACTTAAATAGTGATTGTTTGATTGTTTCTAATTGCCATTGTACTTAAAGCTGGAGCTGAGAATAGTGGTTTTTTTTTTTTTTTTACTTTATTTTTACAAACTTAAAATGAATTTCTTGAGTACGATAAAAACTTCTTCAGACATGAAATTTTCTTTTTTTTTTCTGTTAAGATTATCAAGTTTTGCATCCATATGGTTCTGAAGGAAATCTGAGAATTATAGCAAGCATAACAGGATATAAGTCATCCTTCCTTAAGGGCATGGATATGCCCAATGTGAGTAAAAACATAATCTTTTGAATCATAATACATGCCTTACAGCAATTTGTATAATTATTGCCCTACAGTCTTAGTATCAGAAATAAAATTTGCAAATAGCTGCCAGACTTTTCTGTCATTGAACCTTTCTCTCTCTCTCTCTCTCTCTCTTTTTTTTAATAGAATGCTTACATTATTTTCCTCTTAATTATGGTGAACAATTCTGTTATATATGTATTTTCAGGACAAAGTGTTCCCCTCTATTAATAGTTCATTAAATTTCATTCTTGTGGAAGAAGCTGAAGTTAGTCCGAAAACGATATCAGTTTATAACAGCCCCTCCAACAAGGTAAATATTTCTAAATGAAATTTGTACTAATAGCTATATATTTATAATAATTCCAAGATACGTCCAAATAACTTCTGCAATACTTTTTAAGACTATGATTGAGAAAGTAAGAGTGGAAAAAATATCCTTTTTTAATGTATATCTTTTTGAATATTTCATATTAACCCACATTTGTAGGAAAATCAGACTATTTATACTTGATTTATTGATATAAAATTAATAATTATTGTGAAAGATTGTAATTTCTTAAAGGTATTATTTTTTAAACATTCTCCAAGATACTCTTCAAATTGACATTTGCAGATCTCAAAATAAAAAAAATATTAGTTAAATTAATTAGAGAATTTTTTTCTTTTAGAAAGTTGATGTTTTATATGAATTTTACTATTTAAATACTTCTTCCCTGAGATAAAATAAATGCTCTTAAATTAAATTACATAGAGTATATGGGAAAATACAGGGTGACCCAAAAGTCCATTAACATTTGAAAATCCAGTAATTCACAGATAATGTAGATATAGAGGTAAAAGTTGACACATATGCTTGAAATGACATGTTGTTGTATTGAGTGGAGGGGGAAATATGACATATGCAGGGGTGTTTGTGCTCCGGGGAAATCCCGGAATTCCGGGGATCGTCGTTCAAAAGGAAGTAGGAATAATAATGAATTATTTATTTTGATCTGGGTAATTTTGTTTGCTTTGAAAGCAGAAAACGCAAGGTCAGTGTGTGTGGTGAAAACTTTTCCTTTCTTTCTCCAAAGGCAGTGATAATGCGTGAAAAGAGGGAAAAAAACTTCTTTTTTCTTCTTTCCTTATTGCGAGTTATGACTCATTCCCCCGGTTCTCGGACATTCTCTTCTGGATTCTTTTCCGCAAGTAGGCGCGGCAGAGAAAAAAAGGGAGAGACTTCGTTCGACCAGATGTGCGATCACGTGACTCTGGGTTCAAAGGTCTTATCTCTCCTGGCGTGGCACCAATAAGTAGAGAAGGGGGATTTTTCGCCCTATTAGCTATTTGTCATTGATCGCTTCTCAACTTTTTTTCTCCGATGTGTAAAATTTTCGTTTCGTTTATTGATGCACGTGTAAATTTTTCGTTTCATTTATTGAAATATTTTTTTATTTATGTACGCAAGAGAATTTCACTATGAAATTTCTCGATACAAATAGTGATATTATACAATTAGAAGAAGGTGTCCGGAATGCATTTAGGTGGAATTGGATTGAACGGAGAGATGGTAATGGGGATACCATCAGCACATGGTGCAAGAAAATAAATGTTGCTGGACAAGCATATTGTGTTTTTTGTAACTCACTGCTGAAGTATGGTGGGGAAGGATTCAAGGCTTTCACAAATCATTCTAAAACTGTGATGCACATAAAATATTCAAAGTGCATTAGACATTCAATGACTTTAAGTAATTATGCTAATTCAAAAAATACTGATGACTTACTGGAGACTGATGCTCGGCCATTGGATATAGTGACAATAAAAGCACGCCAAGAGGTATTAATAACTTCGTTTATCGCCGAGAATTCTCTTTCTTTCAATGTAGCTCCCAATTTAATTCAACTCTGCAAACAGTTGAGCCGTGATCAGACGGCACTAAACTCGTTGGAAATGTCCAGGACTACTGCATGTTATAAGATGAAATATGGGCTCGCAAAAACTATTAAAGAAAATAGCATTAAAACTTTAAAGGAGACTCCATTTTCTCTAAATTTGGATGAAAGTACTAGCAATGCTCAAGAAAGTATACTGGCAATATTGGTGCAGTTTTATGACAACAATCAAAATGAAGTTGTAGTTCATCATTTTGCATCTCTAAAGATGGAATCTTGCAATTCAGAAGCTGTTTTTAAAGCAGTTGTTAATACTATTGAAGATAATAATATTCCATGGGCAAACTTAATTAGTTTATTAATGGACTCATGTAACACCATGCGAGGAAAAAAAAAAGGATGTTGAAACCAGACTACGATCAAATAAAGCACCCCACTTATTAGATATTTTGTGGTGACACATGTCACACAGCTAATAACTGTGCAAAAAATTTGCTTCATGTTTTGATAGATACTTAGAAGATTTGTTTGATGACATCTATTTTGATATGAAAAGCTGCAGGAAAGAGAAAATTTTTTCAAAATCTGTGAATCCCTTGCCATTAAAAAACTTAAGCCCTTGAAGAGACCCAGACCATAGGTGGGTGTACATTTTATGTGTTTTAGAAAGAATCAAAGATCTGTGGGATGCTCTTATTGCATTTTATTTTCACTACTTGGATAAAACTGATAAAGGGGATTATTTTATGTTGAAACTGTATACAATAAAAGAAATATTTCTGCAGCCCAGAAAAAGTTGTTGAAGGAGTGTATTCTTGCTTGCATTCCCAACAACTCACAAAGAATGCTTTAGCTCGGGAAAAAAGAATACTAAATGGGTTATTTGTTATGCAAAACAAAACTTTATTGCATGTGGCATTATATTCAGCAGTATTACCAGAGTTCAACACTTATATTAAATTATTTGAAACAAAAAAACCAATGCTTCATTTAATACATTCCAGTATTTATAAATTGATATGGCAAAATTTTTCTCTTTTTTTATGAAGCCAGAAAATATAGAGTATATAGAGTGCACATCTTATAATGATTTATTAAAGGTTGATGTCACAAATCCGGAATTCCATCTACCTAGCAAAGTAATATTTACTGGGGCAGAAGCTTCCACTCTCCTGAAGAAATTATCAAAAAATCATCCAATAGCAAAAGAATTCCAAATTCTTTGATGAAAGCTTATACTAATACAGCACAGCATATGAAACAGAAATTACCCCTTAAAAATTCATATCTAATTAGTTTTACAGCATTCGATCCAGAGCTAAGAGGTAAAACCAGTACAGTATTAGCTTTTGAAAAATTATCATCTTTTATGTCCCATATTTTTAGTGATAATGAAAAGTCAAAAGTAGAAGCTGAAATAAGGTTATACCAGAGTGATATTGATATCACCAAAGAAATGCTCTACACATCTGATGAAAGTGGAAATCAAGTCAAGTGTACAATTGATAAATATTGGTCTAAAGTTTTTAATTTAAAAGATGATTTCACAAATGATTATAAGTATCCTACATTGGCTAAATTGGTCAAAGCCTGCCTTAGCTGCTTCCATGGCCCCATTAGTGGAAAGTGCATTCAACTTAATGGATACACTTGTCACTGACTATAGAACCTTTCTTAAGATTGATTCCCTACATGCAGTGCAGACTATTAAAATATGATTTAATGGCTTCTAAAGAAACCTCATGTGAAAAATATGGCTCAAAAATTCAATGACTGATCCAATTCACAAAGATCTCTTACTGAATATGAATAGAAGTTGGAAAACATATCAAGAGGACTTAAAAACATGTATTTCAGATGAGTCACCTATAAAAATCTCTGAAAAACCTTCTACATTCGCAGAAAAGCAAACTGCTTCTACCTCTGCATGTGCAGTTCTTGAGGAAATTTCTTCAACTGTAAATGAGGAAAATAAAAGTCAACCTTCCTGTAATTATGAAGTTCACCACAAAAGAAAGACAAGCCTACAAACATCAGAAAATAAAATTTAAAAAAAAAAAAAAAAAAAAAAAAAAAAAAAAAAAAAAAAAGCAACAGAAATTAGGTAATTTTTTAAAAAAAAATTAATTCAGTTAATTTAAAATATTTACATAAAATGTAGTAGTTTATATGTTTGAAAATTTATGGTTATTAATTTTGCAAATAAAAGTAATTAATTGAACTTCATTCAATACTTCATAATTGTAATTATTCATTTCTCTTCCCCCCCTTTTTGAAACTCCAAAATGTCGGTAAGTAAGTCCGTAAAAGTTTCAAGGGATTTTTTGGGGTCCCACAAACACCCCTGCGTATGGTAGTAGGCAGCAAAATGTTGACTCAGGCAAACCTGAGTGGTTCGTTGTGATGGGTGCCCACATGTAATCACTAACCCGGAGTAGTGCAGTGTCAATTTTCGATTCTGTTATAGTTCTTAACCCTTTGACACGCTGTGGTCGTGCCCTGAAACCACCAATTTTCTAATTTTTTTCTCCTCTTCCTTCCGAAATTTTTGAGTGAAAATCAACTGATTACTGATCTTTTCCTCTAAATAACACAAAATGACTACAGAATCATACATGTTTTAGGTCTTAGTACTTGAAAAATTATCATCTTTTATGTCCCATATTTTTAGTGATAATGAAAAGTCAAAAGTAGAAGCTGAAATAAGGTTATACCAGAGTGATATTGATATCACCAAAGAAATGCTCTACACATCTGATGAAAGTGGAAATCAAGTCAAGTGTACAATTGATAAATATTGGTCTAAAGTTTTTAATTTAAAAGATGATTTCACAAATGATTATAAGTATCCTACATTGGCTAAATTGGTCAAAGCCTGCCTTAGCTGCTTCCATGGCCCCTTAGTGGAAAGTGCATTCAACTTAATGGATACACTTGTCACTGACTATAGAACCTCTCTTAAGATTGATTCCCTACATGCAGTGCAGACTATTAAATATGATTTAATGGCTTCTAAAGAAACCTCATGTGAAAAATATGGCTCAAAAAATTCAATGACTGATCCAATTCACAAAGATCTCTTACTGAATATGAATAGAAGTTGGAAAACATATCAAGAGGACTTAAAAACATGTATTTCAGATGAGTCACCTATAAAAATCTCTGAAAAACCTTCTACATTCGCAGAAAAGCAAACTGCTTCTACCTCTGCATGTACAGTTCTCGAGGAAATTTCTTCAACTGTAAATGAGGAAAATAAAAGTCAACCTTCCTGCAATTATGAAGTTCACCACAAAAAAAAAAGACAAGAGCCTACAAACATCAGAAAATAAAATTAAAAAAAAAAATATTTAAAAAAAAAAAAAAAAAAAAAGCAACAGAAATTAGATAATTTTTTTAAAAAAAAATTAATTCAGTTAATTTAAATATTTTACATAAATGTTAGTAGTTTATATGTTTGAAAATTTATGGTTATTAATTTTGCAAAAAAAAAAGTAATTAATTGAACTTCATTCAATACTTCATAATTGTAATTATTCATTTCTCTCCCCCCCTTCTCGAAACTCCAAAATGTCGGTAAGTAAGTCCGTAAAAGTTTCAGGGGATTTTTTGGGGTCCCACAAACACCCCTGCATATGGTAGTAGGCAGCAAAATGTTGACTCAGGCAAACCTGAGTGGTTCGTTGTGATGGGTGCCCACATGTAATCACTAACCCGGAGTAGTGCAGTGTCAATTTTCGATTCTGTTATGGTTCTTAACCCTTTGACACTCGGTGGTCGTGCCCTGAAACCACCAATTTTCTAATTTTTTTCTCCTCTTCCTTCCGAAATTTTTGAGTGAAAATCAACTGATTACTGATCTTTTACCTCTAAATAACACAAAATGACTACAGAATCATACATGTTTTAGGTCTTAGTACTTCAAATCAGATGTCTTTTAAAATTCGTTTTCAGTGAGACAAAATAACTTCCTTTTATTAATATAAACAACTTTAAATTTCAAAAGTTATTCATCGCACATCATGATTTCTATCATAAACAATAAAAAATAGCAAAAATTAAACTGCATATATAAAAAAAAAAACCTCTATATGTATGGCATTTGCTTTGTGGTTTCAGGGCGCGACCACTGCCCCACTAGAGCATTGTGTCACAATGCTCTAGAGGCACGGTGGTCGCACCTTGAAACCACTGTTCTTCACAATGGCGTTTGCTTGCTTCTCAAATAGGAATTTTTATTTTTACCCGGATATAGATAAGGGGTTTTGAAATCACAGAGTTATTTTATTACTAAACAATAGATGCATCTGCCCAGTAAAAAGGTCTTTCTTTTCCAGAGACTTTTCTCTGACCTCAACACACTTGCTTCCCAAGCTAATATTGTGATTTTATAAATTATTTCCTGTGTATTAAATTTAAAGTAAATATACTTTGCTGTAATTAAAAATAGAAATCGTGTAAAGTTTTATTTAAATTAAAAATATTTTCTGAATATTTTGAGATGAAATACGAATAAAATAAGTATGAACGGGAAACGAAGAATCCGTACCAAAGCCAAAAAGACCAAGCCCCCCCCCCCCCCATTAACACCAAAAAACCACAAATTCCATGTACCAGATGAAAAGAAACTAAATAATGCTGGACATATACCAGTGAAATTTAGATCCAATCAGTAGCACAAGGAAGAAACATCATTGAAGAAGACACGCATGCGAAACGTACAATGTGGGTCTATGCATGTACCAAAAAGACAAAAGATGCTTTCAACGGTGTCACAAAAAATATTTGTTCTTTGAAATTAAAAAAAAAAAAAAAGTTTTTTTATCCTTAATTTACTGAGTTTTTTAATCCATGTAGGCAAACGTCCTTATTGTGTAGGTACTTATACTTTCACTGCGATAGAAAAATTACATAAACGTTTATTTTTTAATTTTTTCTGACGATTTAGTTTGTAAAATAATGTAAAAATATATATATTATTCAATTCTTACATGCATTTTTTTTAATTCGTAAATTTCGTCATTTATTGGAAACGTGCATGGAAAAAGGCAAGTTTTTTTTTTTTTCCTACTACCTAGGTACGTTTCAAAGTCCTAGACGCGTGGTGGTTTCACAGTGCGACAACCACCCACAAAACAATGGGCAAGAGTAGATTTTTTTAAATTCCTATATTATTTGTCTCTAGGATCATAATATTCAATTGCTAGAGTTTTTAGTTAGAAAAATTATAAAAATAATATTGCGCACGTCAAAGGGTTAATAGGTCTTAGATGAGTGAATCACAGTTTTTAACTACATTTGCAGCATGGGTAACATAGTTGAGGTAATCAAAGCACATAGAGAATCCGAACAAGACTAACACCTGGAACTCTGCAATTTTAGAGCCATAATTAAATAGCAATTATTGAGAGGATTAAAAAAATTCCACTATTTGCCAAAAACAGTTTCTGAAGGATCATGTGAGTGTTGTTAAGTGTACAGTAATAGTACATAACAAATTAAATACAAAGCAAAATGGCAACATGAACAGAAATATGTACGAATCAGTTATACTAAGATATATCATAACATTATCGATTTAGGTGGCAAAGAACTGCAAGCGGCCTTCTATGATTATCGTGACTTTCATAATCATAGCTTAATACAGGGATAGTTCTGTTTTCCTTATCTGGGATTTTCATAAAAACATTTTCAGCAATCTTAGCAATATACATCTGAATTTCAGGAATTTTAAGCTCCCTGTGAATTGCCATGTTCAGCAAAATGTCAGTGATATGAGAATCGTGTATTAAATGAGCAGCTGTGTTGAGAAAGGGAAACACTTTTCTAACTTCACCTCCAAGTGTTAGTCATGATGTGATAAGAATTTATAACATCAATCGTGATCAAATCCTTTTTCTCTGAGGAAATGCATGATTTTGCTATTCAAACTGTCAGTGTGACGGATGTGAGGTAGGCTGATATGTTACAGAATGGCATAATCCCTAGTCTGGTTGATAACCACTGTTGGAAGATTGTTGATGAATGGCGGTCAGTGAACATTTGTTATAAAGAGCATAGTCTTTGTTAAAACTCAATTACTGTATGGTAATTACTGGCAGATCAGTGCAGTGCCAGAAACAGTTTTACGGTATGTTGCTTGTAATTGGCATTACCTAAACATCAGTTTAAGTAAACCATATCTTAATGATACATACACTTACTGTTAGTGTCTGTTATTTATATTGTGCCTTTGAAAAATAGTAATAATGAAATTTATTTTAGGTCTATTTGAATGTCACAAAAGGATCAGGATATTTTCATGTTGAAGCCAGTGATGCCAAAAAAGCAGAAGTAACATATTTGAGTAATACTCGACAAATTGAGGTAACTAACTAATCTTTTAGTATATTAATAATTCAGTTATATGTATATTTTCTATTTAAATAAGTGCTTTGAATTGAAACAGCCATAAACTTATTTTTTTATTTGATTTGATTGTTGGAGAAAATTTGCAGACATTATAAATTTTAAGATTAATTTTTCATAATTTTATAAGCTGCCTTATTTTTGGTATTTAAACTGCTTACTTTTTCTAGTTTATATATTTTTTTCTACGTTGCATTTTGATATATTTTTTATGTAGACTTGTAGAAGACTTAATAATTTCAGAAGATATATTAAAGCAATATATCATATAAAAATATGACATAATAATGTCACAGCAAGTTTGATCCGTATATCTTTATATTTTCTATATTATATTATGATTCTGTATTTCTTAAATTGTTTGGTTTATTTCAAATTGAATATGCTTCAAAGGTTGAGATTGTTAATTATTAATATTTTATTTTATGTGTAATTTTCTGTTATGCATGATTTTATTACTACTCTTCTAGATCATACCATTAGAGACTGGTATTTTTACAGTCACTCTTACTGATTTATGTCTTGGAATAAAATATGAAAGAGTCGCTCAAATTCAAGTATATGGCATATCTGCTATAGTTGTGAATGTACTAGATAAGGTATTGGGTTTCTAATAGTTTTATAGTTAGATATTTTTATTTTAAACTTTATTCAGAGAAAAATATTAGTGTGAAAAATGCAGCATGTTATATACTCTTTTACAATGTATTTTTGTCAGGTTCAATTGGGTAAATCAATAACAGCCTCTGTTGAAGTATTAAATGAAGATGAAGAACGGATTCCAGCATCACTATTTAGTTTGATGAATTTGCAGCCTATCTCATTCTCGAATATAGTTTCTGTTAGGTATGGTATATAACTTTTTACATTGTTAGGTGATAAATTTATTTTTTTCTTAAATTAGTGGGAACTTTCTTATATTTTATACGATGGTTGGAACTTTAATAGTGGCAACACAGCTGAAAAAAAGGCTTCGCAACAAAACCAAAGAATATCGCGTATACCACACGTGAATTACATACGTACCTTACCTCTCAGCAAAAAGACTTGTCCTGCCTACGTCACGTGCATGCGTAGTGACGCGAAGAACGGATCCTTGTATTAGCTCGCGGTCTAAAGCAAATGTTGTCAGGATGTTTTCAAAACAAGAACAACGATGTTAGATAAAAATTGAATGTGCCAGAGGTCCTACAGCACGACAGTGTCATCAAGGGCTTCAAGAGGCTTGCGGGGAATCTGCATTGCCTTACAGAACCGTAGCAAGATGGGTGAAAGCATTCAATGAAGGACGCCAAAATGTGGCAGACATGCTGCAGCCAGGTCGTCCGAGTGTCAGCGTTGCAGACATGCAAGCTGTTGCTGCACTAATCGACAGTGATCGCCGCCAAACGATTTGTCAGCTGGCCGGACAAACAGGATTAGCGCATACGACTGTGCTGCACATTCTGAAGGAACACCTGTCCATGAGAAAAATTGCTTCACGATGGGTTCCACATCAATTGATGGAAATGCAGAAATGGCTACGATACGATGCTGCCTGAACCCACCTAGAGTGCCGTGATCGCGAAGAAGATGCTTTTTTATGCCGTGTGATTACGCTGGATGAGACTTGGGCCCGATCATACCAGCCGGAACTGAAACGAAAATCAAACGAATGGCGTCATCACGGGTCACCACGACGTTCGAAATTTCGTCAGAACCCCAGCGATGTGAAAGTTATGGTGATTCTCGTGTACGACTGTGATGGTGTCATCCTAATGCATACCGTTCTCCCACAGCAGACCGTCACTGTGCAGTATCACTGTTCATTTTTTTAGCTCAATCTCCGACCAGCTTTGAGAAAAAAACGGCGACACTTTCTGCAGAACGCTCCTCTCATTTTGCATGACAATGCTCGGCTGCATGCAGCGCAAGCTGTGACTGATTTGTTCAAGAGATGGGGCTGGGAAGTGCTTTACCAGCCACCATACTCCCCAGATCTAAGCCCTTGTGACTATGACTTAATTCCTAAGATGAAGGAACCACTTTGTGGCACTCACTTCCAAACTGTTCCTGAGATTCTTGCGGCAGTAGACCGGTCCATTCAAACTATTGACAAAACAGGCGCTGCTTCAGGTATTCTGCGACTTCCACATCATTGGAAACAGGTTGTACACAATGCTGGCGACTATAATTGAAGGACTGTAAAACATTGTGACATGAATCACTTTTGTATTCCTTGTAAATATATAGTTGCCACTATTAAAGTTCCAATTCTTGTATAAATGATTTGATACTCAGTTGCTCTCCTTTTGTGATGGCTAATTGACCTCACTATAAAACGCCTTTTAAATTACATATCTGTAGATGTTTATATAACTTTAATGTATTATTAAAATTACTTGTAATTTATTGGAGAAAAATATGTCTAATTTAAAGGTATTTCAAATGTGAAATTATTTTTAAAAATCCTATTTTTATTGTCTTTTATTGATAATCCTTCTGATAAAATAAAATAAGGAACACGATTTTAATGTAAAATATCTATAGAGTGGTTTTAAAAATCTTCTTCAGAAATTCTTTTAAAAATGAAGAACAAAAAATGAACTCAAGCGTTCCTAATTTTGAATGAGATATTATAAAATAAATCCTCAACAGCATTAAATGAGAAGGAGGCATTGTAGCTTGGCATAGTTTTCTGATGTTTATTTGTCACTTGAAATTGTGAAGTGAAATCCAGCTGCAAATTTAGTCAAATGAGATACATATTTTTATAATACCTTGTGAATGAAAAATCCCGTAATTAGATACTGAAAGGTATTAGCAACGTAATGGCACAATCTGTGACATAAGGAAACTTCTCCAGTCTCTTCATTCAGTACCATAGATTTTTCTCCAAACAAGATTTAATTGTTTCTTTATAGTATACTTGTAAATTCTTTATTTCTCTTACTGGAGGGAGAAAGTCTGATAGAATTGTTTTTTTGATTGGGAGTTGTTATTCATCACTTCTTCATATAGATGGGAATAGGGCTATTTTAATAGAACCATGAAGTGCTATTTCATTTCTCTGCAAAATTTTCTGAAAGTTTACTTATTTAGATCATAAGATATCGGTCAAAAGATATATCTTTCCACACTTAACTACTGATATAAAAATGACAGTAAATGTGTAGAGTGAAAAACTTGAACAAATGAGCAACAGTCTCTTCTTGTGAAAGCAACTTTACTTTTTTGTGGGAAGTTTATGCTTCCTACGAAGAAAATATAATTTTTAAAAGTAATATGGGATTATCTTCACTGTTTCTTTTATTTCATATCCTTATGATTTTTAGTAGCAAATAAAGTTGCTCTCAAAAGTTGCAATGAAGGAATTTTTGTTTGTGCTAACAAACTTCTTCAACGGATAAACTACAGCACATTGTGCTTGCGAAGTAGACTTCCCTATCAACATAAACTCTAATGCTTTCTATGTATGCAATACTGAGTTAATGAAATTGTTAACAGTATCTGATATCTTGTTCCATTGTTTATTAAAAAATATCTGGGATAATAAAGTGTCTGCTATTACAGAGAAGATAGAAGCAATATATATAATCGCTCTTGTCATTTAAGCAAAATTGAACAATGTGTACAGTGTATTTTCTGTTTACTGATTAGCTCCTATAAGTCAATATTTATATTTGAAATCCAGTTAGGCAGTGTAACGGCACAATCCTCCCCTTCATTTCACTAATAAATCTCTCTCCCCCTTTTTTGTAGTTGTTGGCCAGAGGAAGTGTTTTTGGATTTAGTTTCTAAATAAATCATTGTTAAAAACTCAACTTAGCTGTAGACTCGTAGTAGTAACTGTAATTACTGAATCATAATTAGTCAGTGTCTTTTAATTAAACACTTAAGTATTGCCTACATATAAATAAAATTTTTTTAAGTTCTATGATTTTTAAAGGGAATAATGAAAATTATAAACCAGTTCTATGTAAATCTTTATTCTCAGCATGTTAGACTTATAAAAGTAATGCATAACCAGTCATTAATCAAAAGAGAAATAGAACATGATCATATGCATAAAACTGTTGTAGTTAGCTTATTTACTTTAGGGGGGACATTGTTAGGATTGTTGTTATAAAATTTTAAGTGGACAATTCCTACCTAAAACATTAAAATATAACCCCCCACCCCCAAAAAAGTAAGATAGAAGTCTGATATACCAGTGCAAAAGTTCATTAGTTAATCTGTTCGCTGCTTTTATTATCTTGCCATGTTTCCTTAGGAGTTGCCCGCATAACCTATGATATTCATTTACATATTCAGGGGTGAATGAGTATATCACAATTTAAGAACTATTGTGTCCAATAATCTCCCCTTTTTTCCCTTATCTGAAGTTTACGATTTAGAATTTTGCATGTACTTGCTTGCTTGGTATAATAGTTACATATTTCTCTATTTTTTTGTTTCCTATTATTCGGAATGGTATGCTTGCTAATGTCAAATCTTAAACATTACCAATTACTCGTAATGCTAAATGGAAATGGTAATGCAGTTTTATATAATGTTTAGATATGCATTATGCATTGCACTTAAATATACATTTTTGAAAAATGTTTGCTTTATAAAAAAAAGTTATATGAAATAATTATATTTTAGGTTAGCATCAGTTCCTGAGCCTAATCAATTTGAAGCATTCTATGTAATTAGTGGACTGTCTGTTGGGCAAACAAATTTTAAAATTGTCACTAAAGCAAATGTATTCAAAGGGATACAGTATTCAAGTGATAATTATCCTATTCAGGTTAGTATTGAGATTTTGCAGGTTTACTGTTATGCTGAGTTGCTGTTTTATGACTTTAATGTTCATTTAATTTGAATGCACACACATAACCGCCCCCCCCCCAAAAAAAGAGTTGTGAATATATGTGTTCTATAAGTTTATATTTATAACTACATTGTATGGATATATTCTGTACTACATGCATGCACTTTTATTATTTTACCACAGTTTTATATGAATTTAACATTTCTATGTCATAAATTTGTAAATCATTGCTGTTATTGTATCAATATATATGCACATAATTGCCTACAAAAAGGAACTGTTTTCTGGTTGTTAATATTTGTGCACCGTTTTATACTGAAAATTTGCTCTTCAAAAATAGTGTACACTTTTCTGTTTTTGTAAATCATTGCTGTTATTTTATCAATCATATATGTGCACATAATTGTCTGCAAAAAGGAATTCATTTCTGGTAGTTAATATTTGTGCACAGTTTTATAACATGTTATACTGAAAATTTGTTTTTCAAAAATAGTGTACACTTTTCTGTTATTTTGTAATTATTCTTACAAAAAATTGCGGGTGGGCAAGGTATTAAAAAGTATATATTATCTGTAGATAATAATTTTATTTTATTGAAATAATTTATTATTTTTATTAAAATATGTAATTTTTTTCTATATGAATGGTAAAATTTTTGCACTGCAGTGTAACATTATAAAGATTTCATTACATTTTTGTACATGTTATAGTTATCTGAAAAATCTAATTACATTCAACAGGTGTTTGCTCCTCTTAAACTGAATCCTGATCAAGTAGTATTGGTGAAAGGAGGTACATTTCAGGTATCCCTTATGTAACTTTCAATATATGTATTTTTATATTAATTTTTGCTATCTCCTTTTTTCAAGGTGTTATTGATGTAAATAATTCATGAAACGTCTTGTGTTAGGTGTTATGCTCTGGTGGCCCTCAGCCCCAACTGAATATAGAGTATATTATTGATGATAAAGACATTGCAGTTATATCTGTAGCTGGCATTGTGGAGGCAAAGAAAGTGGGCAAAACATCTTTAACTGCAAGATCTGTGGGTCAGGATAGAAGTGGAAACACTATTGTCTTTTCTGAGGTAATATTTATTATTATTATTACTTTACTGCAGTATTTACTTTTTTCTTTTGAAATGTTAAAATGTCATTTATTTATTTTTTATATGAATTGCCAGAGTTTCTTCTCCTTTTCTTTTTTTTTTAATGTTTAATTTTTAAATTAGTGCTAACATGAATTATTCTATTATGAACATAAATAAATCAGAATTAGCCTGCATGATGAAATTAATTCACAGCATATATGCTGTGAATTAATTTTGAGAACTATAAAGAAGTAGATTTGTTTGAACCATTATAACCAAGATGCTTTAATTGAATATTGCATTAGTTTAGTAAAAAAGAAAATTATCAGGGGGATTTAATTTTAAACTTACATTCTTTTGGCTCCTCTATATCACAAAACTGGCACACCAACATAAGAGGAAGCATGACATAGTTTTACCAAGCTAACCCTCCCCAGAAAATATTATATTAATATTGTTGAAGAGGATTATATTAATATTGTTGAATTAAATATTAAATATTAATATTTAATTTCCTCTTCAACAATATTAAATGACTAATTACCAAACAGATATTAGGTGCCAGTTACTTATAAACAGACAACAAACAAGTATCTACTTCTTAGTTTCTTTACAGATCTGAAAATTATCAAACTTTTAAAAAAATGTATTAAAGATTTTCTATTAACAGCATAAACTGCATTGTACTGTTTATGTATTTTATGTGTACTAAGGAGTAATATGCTATCTATTATTCCTATGCAATTCATTTGTCTAAATTTTTAATGATGGTTTTGTGTGGTATTTGTAGGATAGCATTGTGGTTAGCTGCATATCCTTAGCAGGAGTAAAAATTTATTCACCCTTGTCAAGGATACGTACTGGTTCAGAGGTAAGTATGATTTATATTTATTATTTTGTTTCACTTACTGATGTAGGGTTTATATATATGAAAATTATGTACAGGATACTTGAGACCTGGACCTCATTAGTAGTGCAAAGGACACAGAATAGCATACTCTCTGTTACCATTCATAGCATTTCATTAGAAATTGCTGAATTGAGGTTGGTATGATATCAGTAGGACATTCTGTCATTTTGTCATCTTAACTTTCCTTTGAGGAAGATTTTCCTCTAAATAACCCATACATTTGCAGATATTACCCCCTTCCAATTCCTCCTGTAGATTCCTTTCACATGATATAAAGTTCTTGGTGATTAGGTCTGGCTGTCAGGTGATGCTTTAACTTATCCCAGAAATGTTTAGTTGGTTTGAGATCAGGACTTTGGGCTGGCCCTTTGAGTTCATTCTCTTCTATTTTCTGTAACCACTGAGTGGTGGCTTTTGCTCTATGAAACAATAAACTGTTATGTTGAAAATGATAAATGTTAATTCCAAATAGTTGCCACAGGGTCGGTATTACAGAATAATTTTGCATAAGGCACAGAAAACAAATGGATCTGAAACTAGGAAAGTAATCCTATTTCATTAATTTTTACTCCTTCCGTGAACATTCATCAGGTCTGTATGCATCTATTTAAATGCCACAACATCTAATGTGAATCATCACTCTACATGATCTGTTGTTGCGTCCACAGACAATAGTTAGTTTATTGATCATTAACTTATGTTCTGCAGCTTGCCCTTGGAATTCAAATGCAGACACGTCTGTAAAATGGTGCAAGTACTGGCATCACTTGCAGATGCCAATCAAAAGTCTTTGCCACAATTTCTATTAAAAATTGTTGATATGACTTCACTGCAAGCTGGATGTAAAGGTGATCTCTCAATTTTTTAGCTTTCTTGGCTTGAGCTTGGGTTCTAAGATTATCTCACATTTCCATTTCTGTACTTCATCGTTCATCATTGCACATGATGTGTAGAACTTTCCAGGTATCTCGTAAATGAAATAACTGAATTGGTAGGCACAGAAAATCGTCCCTTCTCAGCCTCATACAGCTGTCATCATGTGACTATTTTCGATAGCTATAGCTAGTATACATCCTTACTAAACACTGATGGTCTTTTTATATGCTCACAACATGATTTAGTATCGATGATCATACTTACCTCTCAGAGAGTTCCAACCAATAATGCAGGATTAGATAGGCTCATCAGTGTTTGGTTAGATAAACATGTAATCGAAATAATTTTATTGTTTCTGATGTTTTATGTGTAGATGAAAATTTTGATTCATAAATCTTCCTTATTAATTTTAATAAGTGAAGTGTCAGAGTTTGTGTGATTCTCAAACATGAAAAGCATTGTAAGCATTTTACATGCTGAATACATCACATAGGTTTATCTCTTATTGCATGACATCTAGCAATAAATCAGCTGATATTTTTAATTGTACCAAAAAGTTTAGCAACATATTTGTTTCTAATTACTCTTTTGTAGATATTTGTCTCTTTTTGGGTGTAGACTTATATTTCATTCCATGGTCAATGAAAAAGTGGCTATTTATGTGTTAATGATTTTGTTTTATCATTACATAATTTCATAATTTATACAGCTTAAAAAATTTGAATTCCATTTGAAGTATTCACTTCCCCCCCCCTTTATTTTTTGAAATGTGAAAAGAAAATATGAAAAACAAGCAACATCCATATGCTGAAACACTGAGCAAAAACTAATGCTGCAGAATGGTTACATCAACCATGTGCTTGTGTTTTGAGCAAAAAAGAAAACTTCCTTTTCTTCTTGATTTCAATCAACATATCCGAGTGATTGATACCATTTATGCAAATTTATTTGCAGGTTGTTATTGGCCAGTTATTAATTACTTGTAAAATGCATGTAAAAAGGAAGTAAATTAGATTTAAAAATGTAACAGTTGCAGTAAAATTGTGTTGTCCTTAAAAGAAAAGGAAGAATGTGTGGTTTCATACCCAGAGTTTCATTAACACGTCACATTACCATCTCCCATTTAAACAGTTATATTACTAATATCTCAGACATGGACGTCAGGATCTTTCAACTTAATTTTACTTTAATTAGTATCATATTATGTATTATTCTCTAAAATTACATTTTTAGGTAGAAAACATGTTTAACTTCAGTAACATGAAACTTTATTATGTACTTGTTAAAAAAAATCATCTCTAATTTATCACTTGTGTACTCTCAGCCTTGTCCAGCCATGTCAAAATTATTTTTGTTGCAATTAACTCCAGATGTAAGGGCGGAGACAATTCCTGCTAGCCATTTGTAATCACCAGGTGTCTCTGCTCTCTGTCACTTGTCCATTTAAAATTGAACTGCATAGTCAGCTTAGAACAGAAGACATCATAATATGCTCAGCTGGTAAATTTGAACTTTAAAATTATTATGCAAACTAAACAGGTTAAAGTAATGAACAATTCCAAAATGTATATTAGAAATCTGTAATAATTTTAATGTGATGAAAAGTAGCATCTAGGAAACTATTAATGATTCAGCACTCTATCTAAATATTTTTATTTAAGCATATTAACTGAATGTAGTCTTTCTGATTTTCTGTTAGATGCCTATGTATGCAATGGGTTTGAGTGAGCAAGAAAATCCTTTTGCATTTGGTACTGTTTTGCCCACTGCGAAGTTCAAGTGGAGTGTTAGCAATGATAAAGTTGCTACTTTGTATAACTTGTACAGCTCTGTAAGTTTATTTTAGATATTTGGCAATATTAAAATACCAGTATTTTTACAACGTTTGATATTTTCTGATGATGATTATGGCAGTTTGTTTTTTATATTAAGATGCAATATTACTTAATAACTTCTAATTATTGTATTAATAATATGTTACATAATGACATTTATAAGAGCCAATGCCTCGTAAAGCAATTTTCAAAACTTGGGCCAATTGTCTGCTGCTAATAATAATACAAATGACTTTACCAAAGTTTGTCTAAAGATTACTTTTACGAAAGTTCTTGACTAAGTATTTATTTGTACATAAAATGTTGCTGTTTATTTTTGTATAATTTAAAATTTTATTTCATAGATGGGGCTGCAGGAAACATCTGAAAATAATTTCCGTGTTGGTATAAAGGCTCAACAAGATGGTTTAGTCACTGTGCATCTGGAAGTTACCTTACCAAAAGAAATATCTTTTAAACCTTTTGGCTCTTCCTCAGTTCTTACAAGTGAAATTCAGATTCAAGTAAGTTAATATTTCCTTGTTAGTGTTAAAATGTTATTTTTTTAAACAAAAATATTTTGTTTGCTAACTTTTGATTAAAAGGAATTTTTTCTTTGATATGCATCAGTTAACTGTGTACCCACTGTTATGGACTGTAGCTACGAAATAGACGAAACTAAATTTCTTTTAAATCCATCTTTTATTCTATTCAAAAATTAACCGCTCAATTAGCAGCCATTAAAAAATCCAAGCAACAAATTTCTCATCGAACAAGCTAATAAAAAATAATTTAAAAAAAAAAAATTGATGCATGTGCGTTACAAGATTCGTTGCTAGGCAACTAAGTAAGAGGCGAAAGGTTTTGCATAGCACAGAAGATCAGGTGCCAACATCCTGCCCGACGTTGAAATACTAATTTCAAAGCTAATATAAATTATTTAAGAAAATTCAAAGTTTGATACATATATCAGTTAGAAACAATTAAATGCAATATTAATATAAGTAATTATAAGATAAATTTTCTTTTTTCGAAAACTTTAAATGTTCAATAATAAAAGTGAATTTCATTCATGGAATTTGCTTTCATTTTCGTAGTTCTAACATATATTTTATTGCATTGTTCTGATTCTTTGATACATTTATTTGTGCTGAGAATTGTTAACATGAGAAACATGTAAATAGTTTTCTTTAGTTTAATGAATATAAAATATTAATTACATTTTTATTTTCTTATCATAAAATTTTTCTTGTAATAAATTACAAGAAGTGGCAGATGATGTTGATGTTGTCGTTGCCACTGGTTTTGGAATCTTGTTGGTCTTGTGGCACCATCTATAAGGCTTCTATCACACGTCGGTTTGTTTCGGAAGACAAATATTTAGAGCAATTTTTCTGCTTTGTCTCAACAGCCAATCACCATAGATCGCCTTGGGGTTAACACAGGGGAAACTGGTTCTCCATTACAAACAAGCTGATTGGTTGAAAACAAACAACTTACAATGTTTTTGGAAAGGAAGGAAAAAGTCACTTTCTTTCAGTAGTAAACCAGGCCGGAAAATTTTCCAATAACATTTGTTCGTGTGTGAAGTGTCTGGTGTGCAAATATAGAAAATAACACTTCTCTGACTCCAATGGAACCAATATTTTATTTCCTTACGATGTTATATATTCTTATTCATAAGATTTATTTACATTTTACATGCACGTAGCATCGCGTGACAAAAACTCGAAGTTTGTTTACTTCGTTCTTCGCGGAGACTAGAAGGTGTTGCCATTCCGCTTTAACTAAATTTAATTAGAAACTTAACGGAACTGAAGCAACACTACACACCCCCTTCCTAGTGACAGCGATTATGGAAGATAGTCTTTAAAGTGACTGGGAAACCTCACATGTCTGCCGGTTCTAGTAGTCTTGGTTTTATGATGAGTTTCTGAATTTTCTTCAGTGTTCTTGAGTGCAGGTGTTTCCCCAAGTTCCGCTTTCTTGGAATGGGAGTTTTGAAAAGGAATATCAGAATCTTGCACTAGGAAACATGGCTTTAGTCTGTCTATTGAAACTCTTTTAACTTTTCCTTGGATTTCAATATCGAAGTGCTTATTCTTTCTTGCTCTTACAGGATACAGTCCAAGATAGACAGGCTGTAGCGACGAATTATTAATGTTGTTGTATAGGAATACGTGAGAACAGTTGGAAAGATGTTTAGAAACAAAGACTGTTCTATTTCCATGGGTGGTGCTAGAACTTGGCTTCATAGAGCTCTTATTATTTTCTGAAGGTTTTGAGAAAATTCAGACTGTTTCATATGAGGTACCGTTGAAAAGAATTCACCAGGTAATGCTAAAGGGGTTCCATATACAAGTTCTGCGGATGAGCAACCTAGGTCTTCCTTGATGGCAGATCTTATGCCTAAAAGAACGAAAGGCAATGCTTCCAGCCATGATTTTGATTCGAGTAGATGACATTTGAGACTTACTTTTAAAGTTCGGTGTTGTCTTTCGATCAGGCCATTTGCCTGTGAATGGTACGCAGTTGTAGTGTTTGTATGAAAACCAAGATATTTTCCTAAAGCTTGAAAAAGTTGGCTATCAAATTGCCGACCTTGGTCAGATGTTATGCGATTCGGAATTCCAAAGCGTGAAAACCAAGTATAAATCAAAGCTTTAGCAATAGATTTTGCTGATTGATCTTCTAACGGTACCTTCGCTTCGATCCATCGTGTATAACGATCGATCGATGATGGTTAGAAGGTATTTGAATCCTTTGCAAGGAGGTAGCGGACCCACCAGATCTATGTTTAAATGCTGGAATCTGTGTGGAGGTACTTTGAATTCTCCCAAAGATGACTGTGTATGTCTGTGAACTTTAGATCTTTGGCAAGATAAACATGCTCTAGTCCATAGTTGGCAGTCTTTATTCATATTGGGCCATATGAAACGTCGTGTTATCAATTTTATCGTGGATCTTATTCCAGGATGAGATAAATTATGGATTGAAGAAAATATTTTCTGCCGAAACTTTGCAGGGATGTATGGTCGATTATAATTTGTAGAAGTATCACAGTAAATTTTCTTGTCGCTGTCCGGTATACCGGTATAGGGATCTGCAGGATTTTTAAGTTTGGGTTGTTTTTTAGTATCTCCAAGTCGTCATCTTCTTGACAGTCTACTATAATTTGTAAGTCTATTGCAGATGGTACAGAAATGGTGTCTATGCGAGAGAGAGCGTCAGCGACGGTATTTTCATGCCCTTGTATGAATCGGATATCGGTTTGAGAACTGGCCAATATATGACAGTTGTCTAGCTTGTCGTGGCGAAGCTTTTTCCAAATTTTGTTGATAGGCAAATGTTAGTGGTTTGTGATCCGTGTATATTGCAAAAGTTCGCCCTTCTAAGATGTATTTGAAATGTTTTACTGCTGTATAGATGGCTAAGAGTTCTCTGTTATAGGCACTATATTTTTGTTGTGCTGATGTCAAATTTCGGGAAAAGAAACTTAAGGGTTGTTTTTCATTATTCACAATCTGATGTAAAACGGCTCCAATGGCAGTATCGGAAGCATCAGTTGTTAGCGATATTTCAGCCTTTTCGGATGGGTGAGTTAAGTTTGTGGCATGAATAAGTGCATCTTTTAAGATCTGGAAGGCGTTTCTTGTTTCTGCCGTCCAGGTTATTTCTTTTCTGCAGTTCTTTTTAATACCACTGAGCAATGTTGTTAAAGGTTGTTGCAGTTTTGCACAATTTGGTATGAATCTGTGATAAAAATTCACCATACCTAAAAATCGTCTTAAACTAGTAAATGACTGGTTTGGTTCTGGGAAATTTTTGATGGCATCAACTTTCGTTGAGAGAGGTTTAAGTCCTTCAGCTGACACTTCGTATCCCAGGAATGCAAGTTTTGTTTGACCAAATTTACACTTTGCCGCATTAATACACAGGCCATATTCGTTTAGTCTCTCGAGGACTGCTCGTATATGTTTTCGATGAGTTTCTTCTTCATCTGGAGAGGCTATTAGAATGTCATCCAAATAGCAAAACACGAATTCTAGTCCATTCAACACACTGTTCATGAAACGTTGGAACGTTTGGGCCGCATTTCGTAGGCCGAACGTCATGAATGGGAACTCGAATAAGCCAAAGGGAGTGAGAATGGCCGTTTTCGGTATATCTTCTTCGCGAACTGGAATTTGTTGGTACGCTCTAATGAGGTCTATGGATGAGAAAACTTTTTTTCCAGCTAAAATGGAACTGCAATCTGTTAAAAATGGGAGAGGGTATCTATCAGGAATCGTGACGTTGTTTAACGCTCGATAGTCTCCACAAGGTCTCCAATCACCTGATTTCTTCATAGCGAGATGTAGTGGGCTCGACCAGTTACTTTTGGATGGCCTGCATAAACCCATTTGGAGCATAAATTCAAACTCCTTTTTAGCCGCTTTGAGTTTCTCAGCTGATAGTCTCCTGGCTTTAGCGAAAACTGGTGGACCTCTGGTTTCGATATAATGTTCGATGTTATGATTTTTAACTTTATTATTAACTACATTCAGTTTTAACAAATCCGGAAAATCGTTAATGATACGTTTATATGGATCATTTACGGCATTTAAAATCGGAATATTATTATTGTTATTTTGAAAACAAGGAGTTCCATTGGTTGTTAAGAATGTAGTACCATCAATCAACTTGCGATTTTTAGAATCTACCAAAAGGTTAAAATTTGCAAGAAAATCCATCCCTATTATCGGTTTGTTTACCTCAGCAATTACAAAAGGCCATGTGAATGATCGTCTGAGTCCAAGATCAAGCTTGAGTAATTTTTGGCCATATGTTTTAATTTTCGTACCATTTGCAGCAAAGAGTTCTAATTTTGAGATTTTTTTTTTATTTGCAGGCAAGGGAGGAATGACAGAAATTTCTGCCCCGGTATCTATTAAAAATTGGGTAGCCGATTCTTTGTCGCTGATGAAAAGACGACTCAGCTGCACCCCTTGTCCCTCCGTCGTCAATGAGAGACGGGGAGCTGGTTTTCCGGACTATTTGTCTGTGATGTTGATGAGTAGTTGCAGGGTTGTTTACACTTAAATGACTTATCACCGAATTTTTTATGATAGTAACAAATATCACTAGATCTGTTACCACTGTAACTCCTATCTCGTGATTTGGATCGGTTACGACAATAGGGACGACTGTGGCGTTGCTTGTTTAAAGCAGAAACTTGTAAGCTAAGTTCACTAACCTGTTTTTGTAAACTTTCAATCACTTCCGTTTTTACCGTTATGGATGATGCAGCAGCTATTTGGGAAGAGTAACAGGGTTTTTTAATTCCCAAATCTTATCGGCCATTGTAGCCACTTTTGACAAATCTTCACTACTAACAGATATAATGCTACGCATATTAACGGGTAAACGTTGTAGCCACAATGTTTTTAGGAAAGTATCTGTTACTTTATCGCCAGCCAAATTACGCATCTCACACAGTAATTGAGATGGCTTTTTGTCACCCCAGTTCTAACTCACTCAGTAA